AAACCTGCTTTTTGTGCACTGTTGCTTCACTGATCAGTTTACTTTGCTCTGAGTTAGAGCTTGAGTCTCCGAAAGCCTTACTCTCTTCTCTGTCTGCTCTGATTTAATGGCAATGTTTTCATTTGTCGTACGTCTTGTTGTCCGTCTTTGAGACTTGATATTCATTGTGTCTTGGAGCCGAGTGTTTCACAGAGTGCTTTTGCTTTGAATGTCTTTAGCTACCAAAAGAAATGGTATCAAGCTTCTCCTTGGGTCAATGGTGGTATCGGAGTCCTCACCTCTTGGCAACTTTGGCCTTGAGCCCAGCTTCAGTGGAGGCACTTAGCACTTTATGCTTTGTTGAAATTAGAATTAACTTTATTTACATTTGCATGTGAGTGTTTGTGTGTTGTTTTTTTTTCTCAGCATTTTAGTGCTCACTTGTTTTATTTTTGCACTAGCTCTGTTCTTTGTATCATAGAGTTTTAATTGCTCTCCATTAAATATTTCACTACCTACATTTTCCTGAACCTGACGAGGAGCAGTATTCCTTGGATGTAATACTCAAAATTGTGGTATGATGTGTAAACTCTGTGAAAGGCCTAGATTTTAGTTGTCGTGATTCAATTTGGTTTTTTTCCACTCTTCTGTAGGATGTTTTGTTCGCTTGCTTTGTGTGACAGATCACGATGTGGATTCCTTACTTTTTCTCTTCACTAAGTGTAAAACATCTTGACACCCTGATCGTTTCATAGAGCAGCTTCATTGTTTAAGAACATTTGTCTTTCTGCTGATTCTTTGTCCCGTGTCTCTCTTGTTCTGTGGTATTGTCAGCTTCCTGAAATGGTCCTTGTCCCTCTTGATCCACTAAACATCATCTTTTCTCTTAGACGTTACCCTTCACCATGAACTGTTGTGCCTTTCGGTACAGCTTCATGACAAAGACAACATCACTGTTTGTGTTTTCTCATCTTCCCACAAGCGTGCTTGAAGTAGTGATTCAGAGTCCATAGACGTGCCTCAACACTCAGATAGGGTACTTAATCCTGCTAATGTACTGGAGACGGGGAAAAGAAAAGATACAGTTCAGGATGAAGGTGCACTGATGCTGCTGGGGAGGGGGGGATAACTTACGCCCTGACTGTAAGCAGTAGTTGTCCTTCATCTGTATGGAGGCTAAGAGAATGTGGTTTCCTTCCGTTCATGTAAGTAATAAGGGAGGGGATGGGTGAAAGAAAAACGGAGCATAGTTTTTCCTTGTGCAGTTCATACATGCAGATGTAACGAGGCTTTGATTTATAGCCCTGTGTACTGTGCTGGGTCACAAGTCTTTCTTAACGTGTCGAGCGTGCACGCGGTTCTGTACGTCTTGCTTTTAACGATACCCCCCCTTGAAAGAACGTTTTTTGTGATGACAAAGTGTGCTGGTTTTCATGGAAGGCTTTAACAAGGCATTTATCTCTGAGTTGCTATTTTAGGATTTTCTTGAACCTCTAATAGGCTCCTCTCTGTATGTTCCTTTCTGCAGTGAGTATTATTTCAGCACAGAAAATTTGGAAAGAGACTTCTTTCTGAGAAGAAAAATGGACCAACAGGGATTTCTGCCTATTTCATTGATCGCTAGCTTCCGTCGGATGCAAGCTCTAACTACAAATGCCGCACTCATTTTGGAGGTAAACCGACTCAGAAGTACGTATGTAGAAAGTTGTGTGGCTAATTTAGTACTGCCGTTTACAGTCAGTGCTGTGAAGTTAAGAAAAAATTCTGTTTGCAATGACAAGGATTTTATATATAAAGAGGCCTTAAATGGCAAACTTTGTGGGTTTTGTTTCTTTTTTGGATGGTGCTGGATGTGTAAAGTTTTTAAAGTCATAATATGCTGGTCACACAGGCCCTAAAGGACAGTACAGAAGTTGAAACTGTGGATCAGAGGATAAGAAAAAGGGTTGATCCGGAAAAGTGGCCAATTCCAGGTCCTCCTCCATGCAGTCTGCCACCGACTGACTTTTCTCAGCTCATCAATTGTCCAGAATTCATACCAGGCCAAATTTTTGGCTCTCATACTGGTAAAGGATTTATTTTATAGACACATAAGTTTAGGACTGTCTGTCTAGCTTCGGATGTTTGCCTCTTGATACTGATTTCGTAGTAAACATTGTACATTTGGTAACTGTTCTTCCAGCTGATATGCCTGCAGCCTTGCAGTTGCCAGGTCCCGTGGCTGGTGTGGAGTAGATAAAAAAAAGTCTTTTCTGTGTTATGGCTGTTCTCTAGAATATAGTGTGCTGGACTACAGTCCTTCAGTAGTAGTAGTAGTAATCGTAAGCTGGTCACAAAGTCGTCTTCCTTTTCATAGCAGCTGAAAGTTACCTCTTTGCTTGGTGCATCCTGGTTTTGGATGGGAATCCCCTTCATATTATTCAGAGGGAGACGATGGCTGTATTCACTGACAGCCCTTGGCAAGGAAATCTTTTAGTAAAATGTTGGCTGGGATTAAAGGGGAAGAAAGAAGACTTGAGTTAGGCACCCGTCCATAGAGCTGGAGGATGGTGTGGGGAAAACATGTCCCTAATGATGCTGCTCTTGTTATCTTAATAACCCGTAATTCCTCTCCAACTGTTAGAAACGTTCCACATAAATAAGTTGCTAGAATCAATCTTGTCCTAAAATGTGGAGTGAACTGTGAAAAGCTATCGCCTAAAAACCAAAAAAACCCCCTCTGCTGTTGTATTTAACCAGAGAGGTGGAAAAACGGTAGCTGCCGTTAAAAGAAAGGCTAGTGAAACAGTTAAAAAAAAGCCCAACAAACCCAAACAACCCCCAGCTGGAACTAAACTGCTGTTTTCCACTGCTAGAGTCTGCGCCGAGTTCTCCAAGGGTGGGAAGCCCTCTACGCCCGAAGGAAAACACTGAAACAAGTAATTTTCAGACAATGTCTAAGGGCTTGTCTACAAGTTTGCCTGATCTGGACTCTGAACCTTGGGTAGAGGTGAAGAAGAGGCATCGTGCATCTGCGGTCAAACTAAAGGTAAAATCAAACCCCTTTATGTTTAAATGAATGCGTGCAAAACCTGCCAGTTTTCAGATCATACTGTAAAACAAGGTTTTTCACATCGTAATGTGCGCGATCCTCAATGGTGCCGTACAGGTAGTGTGTGTGCGTCTCGCTCTGCCAGACCTAAAATAACCGAGTGCATTTAAAATCCTCATCCGCAGCTCGCTAAAACGAAAAGGAAACACTGTTTTGGTCTGGTTTTTCCTCTGCTGAGGGACAGTTGTACCTGCTGATTATTGAAAAATGGTGAGAATTGTTCTAAAAGCTTATGGCAGAATTCTTTAGAACAGGAATTTACTGAATAAACATCTCTAAGTGGCTGTAGTGTTTCTAATTCCCATATATTTGTTTATCACGACTGTTTTATCATGTTCTGTTTGTCTCCCATTCGGATGCTCACTATCCAATTCAAATCTAAAACACATCACCTTTTCCAACGCAGGAAAGCGTTCCTCTACCCGATCAACCGTCAGACCAACAGCAGCCACCCCCGCCTCCCGAGGAACAAGAACAAGAAGAGCTCGATTTTTTATTTGATGAAGAGATGGAACAAATTCAAGGTCGGAAGAATAAATTTACTGATTGGTCAGACAACGATTCCGATTATGAAATCGATGATCAGGACGTAAACAAGATTTTGATTGTAACACAGACGCCGCCGTACATGAGAAAACATCCCGGTGGCGATCGTACCGGCAACCACGTGTGCCGCGCAAAGATGACCTCCCAACTCGCCAAAGTTATTAACGACGGCTTGTACTATTACGAACAGGATTTGTGGACGGAGCAGAGTGAAGATGACACCGTGATGAAGGTAATTCTCTTTGGTTTTGACCCAAAATCCACGTCTGTCCAAACACTTCCAAAATTACTGTCGCAGCCATCTGCGATGTAATTGTAAAACGTTGCACTTGTTTGGAAAGAGAAGGGGTGGTGGCCGAGTTCACGGGTCTGTGGAATTCTCTTGATTTTGCTAATGTTGAAAACAGTTAAAAGCAAAACCAGCAAGATTTTCTTGGCACAGATTTGACCAAAAGCGTTGAATGAATATTTTTTTTTAGAATGATTTGTAACGTTTTGGAGACAGTTCAACTTTTCCAGTGTTTTCTCGTTCCATGACTAGCTTGTCTCATAACCTTTGCAATAACCCCTGCCAGAGGGGAAGGGGGCGCATTTCTGAGGTGAAGTAATAAGAGAGGAAGGTAATAGGGTAATTTTCAAGGAGTTTGATTTGAAGGTTCCGTTTGCCTCAGGGCCTGTTAGAGTGACAGCTCTGTGAGCAAATGGAACTTTGGATCTCACCTTACTTTATTACAGAAACCCCTTTATTTCCTAGCCTGTCCGTGGGCCTCCCTCCTCAAAACTTGGCGAGGAGATTGTCAGCTTTGATTATTATTTTTTTTTTTTAATTACTATTTTTTTAATATACTAAGCAGCTGTGAAACTCCAGATGAGTTGAACTTGCAGCATGCTGGAGGCAGCGGTCACCTGCTGCCCTTGGGTTATTAAGGAACCCCTCCTTTGGGCGAGTGAGCCTGGAGGGTGGCGTGTCTGTAGGCAATCCCGCCGATACCTGGTGTGCGGAAACGTAGGGTGACCTAAAAAAAAGTGGTGAGGAGGGGAAGGAGCTTTATCTGTGTGTAAGGACAAAGGTGGGTTGTGGGGTGGGGGAGAAGGGGGAGAGTCGCTTAAAGGACAACTGGAACATGTGGGTACAAAAAAGAGCTGACAAAGATAGAAACGAACGTTGGGAGTAAGAGCAAGAAATCAAGGTAGAGTTCAGAACGTGGAGTTTTTATCGCAAAGCAAATGGACCAAGAAAACCAGCCAACTGGAAGAGTATAGTGAGAAATAGTGCACAGCGAGAGAAAATATTTTAATATTTTCTATCCTGTTGTTGGTGGGTGTTCACAGTGGTTTAAACAGGATTTTTCACACACAGCGTGCACAGACACCCATGTCCCACCCCACCTCCAGCCGAGTAGGGGCGTGAGTGATCAGAGACGCTGCTGCACATCGTGGAAAGTCCCATCCTTTTGCAGTTCAGGCTACCAATTGTGGGGCGAGAAAATAAAAAGCAAGCTGCCGACTTTATTAACAAATACTAGCTTTTCGTTAGGCGTAGCCTGAGGGAGGGAGCAGGGCCTGTTCCGCTCCCCTAAATTGCTAGGGCCTTCCTTGGCACGCTTGCTGCAGAAGAAAGATGGTTTGGGGCTTGGCAGGGGGCAGGATCTCAGTCATTTCTATTTCTTACTTGTCTGTGAAAGCGGGCACGTGGTTAGCTGGACCTGCCTCCCTTCGCCCGTTTGTGGGTGCAACTGTTTCTTTGAGCTCGTGCAGCGTGAGCTGCGTTAGGTTGCAGACAGCGTTCCCAGCACCTTCTTTTCAATGCTTGCTAGAGGCTCCCTCCCTCTTCCCTAGAAGAAATCTGCTGCTGCGTTTGGCTGCTTGTGTGCCAACTCTGGCTTGCTTATTTTGTCTTCTATGAAACTCATCTGTCTCTCAGGGCGATAGCCGTTACGGTGCTTTGCGCTTACAATTTGCTTTCTCTAATTCAGCAAGAGATCGAGAACTTTAAGAAGTTAAATCTCATCAGTAAGGAAGAATTTGATAACCTTGCGCTAGAACCGGTTGCTGATCCAACCGAGGAAGTTCCTCCAGGGTTACGGAAAGGTAAGTAACACATGTTAGAACCCCTGTGGTAAAGAACAATTCTGTGGGCGTGTTAACCCTTTCTGCCTGTGTAGTATTTTAGTTTTGGCTCAGTCAGCAGTCTGAGGGGCTTTTTTCCTTTGCTAATTTTCCAAATTGTCAGCTGTCCATCAGTAGCGTGGTTTCCTTTGCATTAGAAGCAGCTGATACTTGTAGTGTTCGGGATATACGTGAGCATGAACAGGCAGTGTTCTATTGTGTTGTCACCATATACCGGCGTCAGGTGCTTTCTGTGGAACTTGGCGTTCACAGTGTGCGAAGTAACAGCTCCTGATGTTGTAAAACACTTCCTAGAAACCGGTGTTTTCATGGGAAACGGGGATAGAATGAGGTGAGATTAGAACCATTTTTCTACTTGTATCATAACCTCACTGAGCAGTCACAATGTCCAAATCTTGGTTTTCGAGGTATTTCTAATACCGTGGCCGTATTAGCGTTTACCAGGGTACATGCTAATAGCATCTTCGAAGTAGTTGAAGAAAACCACCTCGCCAAAAAGCAGGAGCGTGGTTACACTTTCACCCACGTTCATTTTCCTTTACTTTGCCGATGTAGATCCACAAGAAAAGAACAAAGGGGGTTTCAGTTTTCTACAAAAGACAGCTTGAAACATTATTTCACCGTTTTGAGCAGTTTGTACTGCTGTTACACCAAGTGCTCTTGTTAATTTGATCGTCCTCTGGGGATGACGTAGCTCACTTGAAACAGAACAGGCCTGTAAGATACTAGATACCAGGGGAGCTTAGGCTTTGAAATCCCTTGAAAATGAATGTTTCCTCCTTCCCGCCTATAGATTTAGCAGAGGAGCTGCCTTGTAATTTGTTCAGCAACGAAGTACCTCCGACAGCAGCACTAGCTCGATCGCTGCCGACAGCAGTGCCAGGGTCCCCCTGCGCTCCCCCTGGCTTCACCCCGCGAACACCTCGCACCCCGAGGCTGCAGGATCCCAACAAAACGCCCAGGTTCTACCCTGTCGTTAAAGAAGCACGATCCATTGATGTCAAGGTAAAGGGAAAGACATGGTATTTTTTTTTTTGAAAAACGAGAAAGCGCCTATAAAACTCCTGTGAAAAGGCAAGGAATGATATGCTTCTACTTCTTTGTTGTTTAGCTTCGAAATATTTACTGTGTTCATTTCTCTTTTGTTTCTACCAAACGGTTTCCGAGTTTTCTCTGTAATGTTTCTTAAAAGTCCTCGCTGAAAAAGTGTAATGTCTATAAAGGTTTTTAATTTGTTCCAGAAGTCTAATCTTTAGGTTACGGAACTGGAGTGTTGTGACTTTATAATGTGTTAGATGATAGAATATAAGAGTTCTTAAGAGGGAGACGATGAGCGAAATCAAATTAGGGAACTAAATACTTCATTTACTACTTTCTTAGACCCCAAGAAAAAGAAAAACACGACACAGTACAAATCCTCCCCTCGAATGCCATGTCGGTTGGGTGATGGATTCCAGAGACCACAGGCCAAGAACTTCCTCCGTGAGGTAAATTTTTGGTGGTTGCTGTAGAAAAAGGGTTGGCAATGTCCTTGGTTCTCACTGCTACTGGAGAAAGAGGCTGCGGTAGAAGACAGTTTATCAGTACAGTGGAAGCAAGACAAGGGTGATCAAGACAGACAAAACCACGGAATAGGTGCTCACGACGTTTGTTGAGCCACGCTGGAGCAGCAGTAACGTTGCCTGAAGCACTGATGTTCGCTTCAGTGACTCTGCCTTTAAGTAGTCATTTAAAATCGGGCATTACAGCAATGTTTAATTATCATCATCCCAAACCGCCTGGTTTCTGAGATATTGGCGCAGAATCTGATGTTGTTGAGGTGCACCCCAGAACAGACAACCGGGACCCCAGGCTCGCAGCGTAGCGGTCGTCAGGCGACTGTACTGTTCTGACAGCTCGTGCGTGGGTCAGTTTTCAACTCATTCCGTAGAAATGCAGCGTTTATAGGACGCAAACACTGGTTTGGTGGAGTTTGTGGGTTGTGTTTTTTTTTTCCTTCCAGCAGTTCCAATGCTTCGCCTTCCGAAGGAGCTCCGCTAGCAGGAAGTTACGGGTGTACCCCAAATTCTCTTCCAAAATTCCAGCATCCGTCTCATGAACTGTTAAAGGAAAATGGCTTTACTCAACAGGTGTACCACAAATACCACCGGAGGTGTCTAACGGGTAAGCCGCTACCTACGCTTCCTAAAGCTTCAGGTACAAGTTACCAGGTGTCGTCCCATCCCGGTTTTTGACACGTTGTTCCTCATCCTTAATATTTCTGGGGAAAGGAAAGTAAAATTTCTGTGATACTTCTATTTGGTGAGCTCTGCTTTCCATTTAACTTTACATTCCCTGACAAAAAAATTGCCCTCGAATTTAAACTGGAGATACTGGAAGATCTTGTCTGTGTGTTACTGAGAGAAAACCACTTGGAAATAGCGCTTTTTCTTTCCCGCCCCGTCCCCTTTCTTTTGTCTTCCAGAGAGGAAACGGTTGGGAATTGGCCAGTCCCAAGAAATGAACACGCTTTTTCGTTTCTGGTCTTTTTTTCTGAGAGACCACTTTAACAAGAAAATGTACGAGGAATTCAAACAACTCGCTCTCGACGATGCGAAAGAACACTACAGGTATTGCTCTCACCATTGGCTGTAACGACTCTGAACATCTTCAGCTTTGACTCTTTGTAAAGCATCAGAATAGCAGTTTGCAGAAGTTACTTTAATACCAAAAATCTGCTGGTATATTTTTGTGCTTTGCAGCTAAACAGCTAAACGTGCAGCATTTCCTCACTTGTTAAACGGTCCCGAATTCTACAAAACCCTGGTGACCGTGACAAGCCAGCTCGGGACTTCCTGACACCCCTAAGTCTTCCTTCCGTGGGTGAAGACATTCTTAACCTCATTCAAATTGTTCAAACTCCTTCTTGCCTTAACAAAACCAGCAGAAAAAATGACCCCAAAGGGAGTGACCACTGCCCCCTTCGCTCTTTGGTATTAGTGCCTTTCTCTCACCGGGTTCCCCACGTTCTGAGGACGAAGGAGCGTCTGTGTAAGATTTTGGTACCTCTCTGTTCTGTTCCAGGTACGGATTGGAATGCTTGTTTAGATTTTACAGCTACGGCCTAGAAAAGAAATTCAGGCAAGAAATATTCAAGGATTTTCAGGAAGAAACGAAGAGAGACTATGAAGCTGGTAATTATCACAGGCCAGCCGCTGCTCACGCCGGGGTAACTTCCGTCGGGAGATAATGCCAATTCCTGGGCACTGACTTGTTAATGAGCCCAAGAGCAGCTTTTGTTCACGTCCCTTTTACCTTACGGTTCTCTTAAACAGTGAATAATTAAGTCTTTAATTAAAAATCTGACCTTTGTCAATTTGGTAAAATTATCTTTTCCCCTTATTAGGTCAGCTTTATGGACTGGAAAAATTTTGGGCTTACCTAAAGTACTCTCAGCACAAGACTCCGGCCATTGACCCCCAACTGCAAGAATACCTTAATAAATTTAAGAGGCTGGAGGACTTCAGAGTGGATGTAAGTTTCAATGCCTGTTGTAAGTAAATATTTGGTGTATTTTTACTGCAAGGTAAGGGGAGAACAGCACTTCATTTCACAGAAAGGCAGCTTTACAAATCCTTTCAATGACTAGAAACAGCATGATTAAAAAAACCCCTAAATTAACACGAAAAATGCAGGTTTATTTGACCCGAAGTATGGTGCCGAGATGCGGTGGCTAAAAGGTAAAAAGCGTTGATCCGTTTTCATCGTGTAATGAACTAAATAGCCAAAAACCGGCTTATTTGTCACCCGGTGAGGCGGGTGACTTCTGCGCCATGTAAGGATCTGGCAGATGAATTAACGAGCTGTGACAGGCGTCGTCCTCGCGGCGACGTCGCGTGCCAAGTCCGACGCGTCCTGGCTGCGGGACGCCGCGCTCCCGCTCTGGGTGACTCGGAGCGCGGTGCTGCCGTGCTGTCCCCGACGGGGTTGTGGGGCGCTACCTGACTGTGTCCCCTCCCGCCCCCTGTAGCCCTCCCTTTGCGAGGAGCTGGGGCAAACGCTGGGGCGACGAAACGGCGCGGTGAGGCTGAGCTCCGCAGTGAGCCGCGCCGTTGGCCCTCTAGCTCAAGGGCCAGGACAGCTCGAGAGGATCACCAGCGGGATCACTAGGCCTCACGAAGGGCCTCGTTACGGAGCGCTCGGTCTGGTTTGATCCCTGAAAAGCACGGAAAGGCCCAGGCCTGGCCTTGCAGACCAACACTGAGCAGGGTGCCCGTTGTTTACTTTCAGCCTCCTATTAGCGAAGAATC